GCCGAATATATATATAAGGTATTAAAAGAAGTCCTATAGGTTACGTCTGCCTCTAGGGCCGCCCTTATCCTAGAATCTAGAGATCCGCTATATCTAGGGCTCTAGTAGCGTATAGAGGAGCGAATACTACGCTATATTATAATAGCCGTTTAGGCCCTATTTCTTATCTATTATAAACTTTATCTATAGCCGGCTAAGGAAGAAGTAAAAGGACTTAAGCTTACTATCTTAAGTCGGCTAGGGAAGCGGCTTCTATATTAGTAGTACCGCCGCCGTAACCGGTATTACTAAGGTCGTAGGGGTTAACGCTAGTCTCGTAGACAGCTCCCTTAGTATAGCGAGAACCTCGTTCTTCTCGCTAGCCGTCGCGCTTTTAATCGCTTTTAGGATAGCTATAATACTTCCTATCCGCCTAGGGGGTAGCGGGGTACTATTACGACCACGGTCCAGCGAACCGCGGGGACCAGCATATATCACGAGGACACGTGACGTGGGGAGCAAGGAACATTAGACGGACCGACGGGCCAATTAAGTTTAGAGCGACGGGTCACTCTAGCGCTCTAACGCTCTACGGCTAGATCGCAGGATCGCTCTAGCGCCCTAGCGCTCCTAGGCGACGGGATCACTAAGTGCTCTCGGCGATCCAGGAAAGCTCTCGAGATATATAAGGAAGGAACGGAACACTCCTTTAGATAGATAGCTCGATAGCTTTTAACATAGATCTTTATCACGATTCTATCTCTAATTCTAATTACCTAGTTATAGTCTACGGTCTACGACCTCCGACTTATTACTAACGTGATATACTTATCATTGCTCAGACCACGCCCTGTTGTATCTGCTAACATAAACCCCTCGATAGGTTTATCCCTTAGGAATAACACCGGTCGTTATAGGTACTCCCTTAAGGAAGCGGCACCTTTTCTAGGGAGATATCTATTAGATCTATTAATTAATAGCTTATACTATTACGGAGTAAGTAGAGGCGTATACGTAGGTGCCGTCCGTAGGATAATATTAATAAGCTATATAGAGCTCTTCTATGCGCGGCTAGCCCGCCCCTATACTTACGGGATCCGGCCCTTCGTATATAACTATATAGCTTAGGCCGCGGCCTAAGCCTATTACCTATAATAGTTAAAGACTCTTATAGATACCGCCTTATATACCCCTAGGTAAAGGAGGCTGCCTAAAGCCGAGGGAACGGGCAACCTAAGGCTTACGTAGGTCTAGGCTAGCCGCTAGCTACCTAGGGGCGTATATAATAAGTCGCGCCCTTATTTAAATAGCTAGCCGGCTAATAAGTATAGAGCCCGGTTCTAGCTACCTAGGCTAATAGGCATAGGGATAATAGGGCTAGTAAGGCTAGTACGATTAATAGGAAAGGGTAAGGTAGAGCTAGCGGTATAGGCTTAATAGTATAAAAGCTATTAATTAAGTAACGCTACGCCGCGCTTAAGGGAGGGTATTATATAAAAGTCTTTAACTATTATAGGTTATAAGCTTAGGCTATAGCCTAAGCTATATAGTTATATATAAAGGGCTAGATCCTATATATATATATATAGGCTAGCTATATATAGGAGAGCTCTATATAGCTTATTAATATTATCTTATAGATAGTACTTATACTTATACCTTTACTTACTCTATAATAATTATTAGTCTTTAGCTTATTAAGCTTATATAAGTACTTTATAATAGTAACTATATTAGCTTAGTTATTAAATATAAAAGTAATAGCCTTAAGAAATATTAGCTTATTAATTATAATATTTAAAGTTAAAGGGAAACTTACTTAGTTATAAGTTATAGTATATTTATAGTACTACTTATAGTTATAAGGAACGGTGTTCCTACTATAAATAAAGTAGCTATAATATACTCTCCCGATTATATAAGCTAATAAGTAGTATATTAATTATAGATAAAATCCTATATTATAGAGTAAGAATCGCTTATTATTTTATATATTATTATATATTAAACGGGTTGCTAGTTATTATATAATCGGGAATTAAAGAAATAGAGCTAGCTTAAAATACTAGCTAAGACCTATTAAGAATACCGGTATAACTAACCTCCTTTAAATATAAATATTAGTAGAACTAAGATACTTCTTAATATACTTAAGGTATTACTAAGTTCCTTAGTCTTAGGGCTATATAGTAGCTTAAATCTAGTCTTAAAAGGTTCTTTTATTTAGCTATAATTATCTATATAAGATAGTATATCCGCTAGTAGATAGAGATAGAATTATTAATAAAAACACTTCTTCTATATACTAATATACTACTAATAAATTCTATTAAAAATCCTGCCTTATACTCCTTCTTCCCCTTTATTATATAGTCTTATATAATTCCTTAATTTCCTAAAATTTCGCTTTTACTTATATACCTTAAGAATAGTATATTAAGGAAACCCTTAAGAAAATATAGCTAATCGAGAGCACTTTAATAAGCTTAGGCTCGGTTATATTATACTTTTTAACTTCCGTCCTAAAATAATATATATACTAAAGCTTATAAGGGATAACCCCCTAAGCCTTAACTAAGTAAGCTTTAGCCTTAAATTAAGTACGCTTCTTTATAAGAGCGCGATTACCTTATACTACTATTAAAGTAACTTTATCTTTAATACTATTATTCTTAGGTTTATTAGTAAGAGGAGTTAAATCGCGGCCGTCTTTATTATTACTATTATTATTATCTTAGCCCTTATTTAACTAAGTATTAAGATTATCTTAGCCCTTATTTAGCTAAGCTTTATTATTAATATCGGCCTACTTACTTTAAGAAGTAGCTTAAGCGATAATCTCTTATTAGCTAAAGCTACCCTATTAAGATAAAGTAGCTAGGTTATTAGTACTTACTTAAGAGCGCCTAAGTACGATCTCTTTATTAATATTAATATTATTAATAAAGGTAATAGATTTATAAGTTTCCTAGCCTATAGAGGTAAGCTTATTAGTAGTTAAAGTTAAGGTATTTAATAGGGTAATAAGGGCACGACCCTCGCTAACGTTAGGTCTTAGATTAAAAGTCTCCTAGGACTAAGATTCCCTTATACCTTTCTTAGCTTTCTTTACTAAAAAGGAACTAACGTTACTATAAGACTTTTAAGCTAATTACTTATGCTTTAAAGGTAAACCCGCCGCTATATACTCCTATATATAGCGTAGGAAATTAATATTATAGCTCTTTATCTTCTTTAGCGTAAAAAGTATTATTATTAATAAATTATTAATAAAAATTAATATAAAAAAGTATAAAGGATTAATAAAAAAAGGTATAAAACTCTATAATAATTATAAGTAAAAGAGTTAAATAAAAAAAGAAAATAAAAAAGTAAGAGGTATATATATATACTCTTTATATTATAGTTATATAGCTAATATATAAGCGATACTATAATAGTTACTTAATAGCAACTACTAATATAATAACTTAACGTTATAGAGTATAAACTAATATATACTTATATAGGTATATACGCGCGATATATAACTAAAACTACCTTTCTTTTTAACTAAATATATATAATATAGCGAAAGTAATATATATTAAAGATATAGCTAAGATATTTATATAAAAAGGGAGATAATTATAAGAGCACTACTAAGAGGTATAAGCTAATAAAGTACTTAGGTATATAATACTAATATATTAGTAGGGTATTAATAGGGAATCGTACTTACCTTACTTATAAGTTATAAACTACTTACTACTTTAATAAAAGAAGAGAAATACCTTTTCTTATAAGCTTTAGTCTTATAATAAGGAAAATATAATATATATAATATAGTACTACTAGCTATCTCTACTACCTAACTAATCGTACTATAATATATATTCCCTTATAAAGGTAGTATAAGTAAGTTTAAAAGTATATTTTATAATACTATTCTTTTAATATATTATTTAGCCCCCTATATACTTATTATAAATTCTAAACGAAATCCTACCTTATACTCTTTTAACTACTCTTTCTACTTACGTTATTAATTACCTAATCCTATACTTATTACTTATACCTTTTAATAATAACTATTATATTATAAGGGGTAGCTAGTTTATATAGATTAATTAAGTAATAAGGTAGCGGCTTAAGCGTATCTTTAAGCTAGCTACTATTATTATAGCTAATTAGGATATAGATCTTAAAGCTCTATATAGTAGCTAGTAGCTTAAATAGCTAGAAAATACTATAATTAACTATTATAGTATTTAAATATAGCTTTACTTACTATTAAAATATACCTACCTTAGTATTATAAAGAGTACTAGTATTAAGGTATACTAGACTTTAAGTAGGCTAACTTATATAGAAAAAGTAGATCGTTTATATAAATAAAGATTTTTATTTATATAAATAATAATACTCTTTTAAAGCTACTTTATTAAGTAAGGGAGCTATATAGGTAGGTACCTTAGTAGGTACCTCGTAGTTTAGTAGGATATAGGAAGATTAAGGTAGGTATATAGGTAGGTAAAGGTAGGTAGGTATTACGTGTTAGGTACCTTATAAACCTCGGTAGTCCGAAAATTCGCGTAGAGGGGAACAAGGCTGCAAGCTAAAGATTTGTACTGCAAGCCGACACACGTTCGTGAGTATTCCACCGTAAGCGAGCGTTGCCGAGCATTCCTCCACCTCCATGCCAGCAGCAAGCCTTCAAAGCACAGCCACAAAAACTCACGGTCACGAGGCGCTAGGAAACAAGGCCTCTTGAAGGGGTGACTAGACGGCGCAGACGACGGCGTGCAGCAGCGACCACCGGGGACCATGACGGAGGGGACGAGCTGAGCCGTGCAGCATCAGCCCACAGCTTTCAATGTCGTCGACTTGCTTCGGCCGCCTGGCTCCACTTCTACCTCATCGTCTGCCTTGGCCTCCCCTTCTCTCTGCCCGATGGCCTGCCCCGTGTCACCGGCTCGCCGCTGGGAAGACTGCCGCAGCTGTGCTGGCGCAACGTCCTGCACTGAGCTGGGACCAACAACATGGACTCGGGCAGCGGCGGCATCGACATCGCAGGTGAGTCCAGTTCAATTTTGTCTCCCGCAGGCAGGATCAAGGGCACTGGCTAGAAACGAGTTGTTGCTGTTACTGATGTGAAGGCCCTGGTTCGTCCAGCATCAAGCCTCCGCCCACCGAGACGGACCCCCGCGAACGCACGCCCAAGCCGAACCCGGCCCGCCTGCACGAAGACATTTACACCGTCCCCAACATCCTCACTCTGACGAGGCTCGCAGCCGCTCCTGGTATTGGCTGTCTGGTGCTTTACGATGCCCGGGCGTGGGCCGTCGGGCTGTTTGCCTATGCCGCCATCACCGACGTGGTCGACGGCTGGATTGCCCGGCGCTGGAACTGCAAGACGGTCGTGGGCACTGTGCTTGATCCCATGGCGGATAAGGCGCTCATGACTGTTCTGACGGCTTGTTTGGCTGTCACAGGCGACCTGCCAGGTATGGATTGGACATTTGCTTGCCTGCGCTTGACAAACGCTAACTGGCGTACGAAGTGTGGGTGGCGACCATCATCCTTGGAAGAGACGTTGGCTTGGGCATCGCGGCCATTTACTACCGCTGGATCTCCCTGCCGCCCCCAAAGACTTTTGCCCGCTATTGGGACTTCTCCTTGCCCTCGGCCGAGGTGCGCCCAACCACCATTAGCAAATACAACACCTTCCTTCAGCTGACCCTGGTCGGTGCGACCACCGTCGCTCCTCTTCTCGACGCCGATATGTCGTGGGCGCTCAACGTCTTGCAGTGAGTATCCGACTTGGCGGCCGCAGCGCCGGATGGTTGCCCGTGCTTCATGGCCCCGGTTTGCTGACTACAGTCAGATATGTCGTGGCCGTCACGACCCTGTGGAGCGGCCTGAGCTACATCTTAAGCAAGGACGCTGTCAAAATAATCAAGTAGGCGAAATCGTGGATAAGGACTCGTCATTCGATACATCTAAATTTCGGACTGAGACTGCCCGTCCAGCACCCAAGCCAAGTCAGACCCCCCATGGCCGTAGCCATGGCCGTAGCCAACGCACCCGAAGTCGCTGCGTCGCGTGCACAAGAACAATACAGCACGGAGCAGCTTGTATACCTCTCCAGCCTTGCTCGACTGGACTCGTCACACTATCTCACAAAACTGCTTCCCGTGTTGCAAGTGGCCCCCTCTGCGTCTGCCATCTGGCTCATCACACCAGGGGAGTGTCGCGCACGTCCACCCGCACGACGAACATACGCCAGTAGTCGGAGGCAGCCCGACGGAGTGACACCTTCGACGCGCCTGGCCTGTGCGAGCGTTTCTGGTCTGGTTGCCATAAGCACCTCCTTCTCAGACAAGGCCAAGCCAGGAATCAGACTATAATCGAGATCCAGTGGGATCCGAATATTTTCATCCCCGGTGAGCTGTCCGCGCTGTGCTTCTTGTAATTTCACGTAAGGGGCGTACGACGCCTCAACAACAACTCGATCCCTGATGCGCGGCCCATATGCCACAAGATCGGGACGGAGGGAGATGAGACGGTCCAGCTCGCCGGCACGTGAGTTGGAGCTGGACAGTCGAAGCATGTCTAGCCCGGTGCGGCGCCGAGAGGTACTCTTCAGTATGAATCCCATCTCCTGCAGCTGCTCTCGTGTCAACGTTATCTTGCTCAACATATTGATCAGGTCGCCAATCTGCTGCCGCTCATCACAGAACGCGCTCCAGCGCTTGTCTGAGACGACACCCCAATCTCTCCCCTTTTCTGTCAGCCGAACATCAGCGTTGTCGGCTCTAGCGGCCATGCGAAACTCGCTACGCGACGTAAACATCCTGTACGGCTCAGTCACACCCTTGGTAATCAGGTCGTCGATCATGATGCCAATGTAGCCGTCCGATCGGGACACCGATACAGCCGGCAGTCCCGTGGCGGCCCGCCCTGCGTTGATTCCCGCAACAATGCCTTGCCCGGCGGCTTCCTCGTACCCCGTCGTGCCGTTGATTTGCCCTGCGAAGTAGAGCCCAGAGATGGCCTTGGTTTCAAGCGAAGACTTGAGGCCGCGGGGGTCCAGGTAATCGTACTCTACACCATAGCCGGGTTGTAGCATCTTGACCTGCTCGAGGCCACGGATCGTGCGAAGCGCTTGCTCTTGTGCCTCTACGGGGATGGTCATCGATAGTCCGTTGGGGTAGATGACTGGGCTGTCGAATCCCTCTGGCTCCAGCCAGACGATATGGCGCTCCTTTTCCGCGAAGCGGAGAACTTTGGATTCCAGCGACGGGCAGTATCTTGGACCCTTGATCGTCTCGCGTATGTGAATAGTCTTGTCAAGATTTTCCCTCACAATCTGGTGCGTCGCCACGTTGGTGTGCGTGATGCTACACGTCATCTGATTCTCGACCGCCACGCTGCTATTGAGATAGCTAAACGGCATGGGCGGATCGTCCCCCAGCTGTGTCTGCAGCACCTTGAAATCAATGGTTTCACGGTCTAGCCGCGGCGGCGTGCCTGTTTTCAGCCGGCCCAGCCAGAACCCGGCATCTCGAAGAGACTTGGCCAGCCCAAACGTGGCCGCCTCACCAAGACGGCCAGCAGGGTAACTCTGCAGGCCGATATGTATCTCGCCGCCAAGGAATGTACCTGTGGTGATGATGACTCTGCCGGCGGACAAGGTCTGGCCACCGTCCAGTCGCACACCGGTCACAGCGCTCATGGCACCATCTCCAGTGGGAATGTCGAGCTTCGATAGTGTCAGGTCGGACACGCTCCCAAGAACGATGGAAAGGTTTTCGTGCGTTTCCAGGGCCTCCCTCATGTGCTTCATGTAAAGTTTCCGGTCTATTTGCGCGCGTGGGCCCTACATGGCGAAACGGAGACGTGAGCAAGTGTGACTCCCGGAAAAGAGGATTCAAGACGACCAGTCGGCGCATCCAGGGCCATCATAGCACTTACCCACACAGCCGGGCCCTTGCTACGATTCAGGACGTGGAATTGAACGCCGGCCTTGTCGATAATCCTGCCTGCTAGCCCGTCGAGAGCATCGATTTCACGAAGTATTGTGCCTTTCCCGATGCCCCCGAAGCTGGGGTTGCAGGAACAAGCTCCCAAGTTGTCGATTTTAGGGGTGATGAGTGCAGTCCTCGCGCCCAACCTCGCAGCAGCCGCGGAGGCCTCGGCGCCGGCATGTCCTCCACCGATGACAATGACATCAAACGGCCTGTTGTACATCGTTTTTCAGTTACGCTCCCTTTCCTCTGTACGGGCAAATCTGGAACTTGTTCGGCGCAACTGACCTTGGGCTGTCAGCTACCACGGCAAAACATCGCTTTCTGAGAATCTGGACTAGGCCTGGTCGCCAGGGCCGCCTCGGTCGTGCAAGGACGAACATGGCATGTTAACAGTCCATAACAAGTGTCGAACTGGGTCGAGGAGTGCCGCTGGAACCCTCGAGATTGATCTTGGCAGGTTGCACTTCGTGTGTACAAGGCCAGGTTGATTCAATTTCGCAAGGTTGAGGTGCTGGCATGACCTTTTTCGTCAAGCTTAGTCAGGACCTGGGTCAGGGCTAGACCACTGATTCGCCCAAAGGCGCGTCCTCCACGAGCCATCATCTTGCACTTCCAACGCTCCTCTCTATAGATCGGACAATCTTTGTCGAAGCTTGCCAGGCTCTACTCCGCGGCACAAGTGCTTTTCTTGCTGCGTTCATCCCGGCTGACTGTTTCCAGCTTCTCGTCATATGTACGCCACCTCGGCTCCGTATCTGGTGCTTTCGCCGCTTCCACTTGCGTTTGAGAGTCGCCATGGATGTGTCTCAGGCCGTGGCAGGCTACATCTCCAAGATTGTAACGCCGTCGGGGTCCAATTCTTCTGCCAAGATGAAGATCTTATTGCTAGATCGCGAGACCGTGTCCATCGTGTCGACGGCCGTCACGCAATCGTCACTGCTTAATTATGAGGTCTACCTCATCGACCGTCTCGAGAATGCCTCGCGGGAAAAAATGCGCCACCTTCGCTGCCTCTGCCTTGTACGGCCCTCCCCTGAAACCATCCAGCTCCTCGTCGACGAGCTTCGCGAACCCAAGTACGGAGAGTATCACCTTTACTTTACCAACGTGGCCAAAAAGTCGTCCCTGGAGCGCTTGGCCGAGGCCGACGACCATGAGGTAGTCAAGAGTGTCCAGGAGCATTTTGCCGACTACACCGTCATCAATCCAGATCTCTTCTCCCTCGGCTTTGCTCTTCCGCAGTGGCGCGTATGGGCCGGCAGCCCGGACACGTGGAATCCTGAGGCTCTTCAAAGATGCGCCGAAGGCCTCATCGCTGTTCTGCTTTCCCTCAAGAAAAAAACTCTCGTGAGGTATGAGAGAAGCAGCACTCTGGCCAAAAAACTGGCGTCAGAAGTGCGGTATCTTATGTCACAGGAGGAGCAGCTATTCGACTTTCGAAAAGTTGACACCCCCCCGCTTCTGCTGATCCTCGACCGAAGAGAGGATCCCATAACGCCGCTTCTCACGCAGTGGACATACCAGGCCATGGTCCACCACCTCCTTGGAATCCACAATGGCCGGGTGGATCTAAGTGAGGTGCCCGACATTAGGTCGGAGCTCCGGGAAGTCGTCTTGTCCCAGGATCAGGATCCCTTCTTCAAGAAGAACATGTTTCTCAATTTCGGTGACCTCGGCGGGAGCATCAAAGAGTACGTCGAGCAGTATCAGTCCAAGACCAAAACCAATGCCGACATCGAATCCATATCCGATATGAAGCGCTTTATCGAAGAGTATCCGGAATTCCGCAAGCTCTCGGGCAACGTGAGCAAGCATGTCACCTTGGTTTCTGAGCTCAGTCGCCGGGTCGCCGCCGAGAACCTGTTGGAGGTGAGCGAGACCGAGCAAAGCCTGGCATGCAACGACAACCACAATGCCGACTTAAAGGTGGGTGTCCATGTCTCCAGCGGTTCCCAGAGACTCGACCAATAACCAATCTACCCAGAACCTCCAAAGACTGGTCCAGATGCCCACCGTCACGGCCGGGGCCAAGGTCGGGCTAGTCGCGTTGTATGCTCTGCGATATCACAAGCACCCGTCTAATGCGCTTCCCATGCTCGCGGAGCTGCTGGTCGCGGCCGGCGGCGTGTCGCCGCGTCACGCAGACATGCCCAACAAGTTATTGGCATACCACTCGTCCCTCCACATGACGCAATCGAACAGCGGCATCTCGGAAATCTTCGAATCGGCCGGCATCTTCTCCGGGGCGTCAAGTCGCTTCAAGGGCCTCAAAGGAGTCGAGAATGTATATACGCAGCACACGACGCTTCTGGAAAGCACCCTGCAAAATCTTATCAAGGGGCGCCTCAAGGAACAACGGTACCCATTCATGGAAGGGAGTGGCTCGACAAGAGACAAGCCGCAGGACATCATTGTCTTCATGATTGGAGGCGCCACCTACGAAGAAGCCAAGATGGTAGCCGGCATCAACGCAACCACTCCTGGCGTCCGCGTGGTGCTGGGCGGCACGTCAATGCATAATGCTGCAACATTTCTCGAGGAGGTCGAGGATGTAGTGGGCACATGGCCTGAGGCACGAAGCCGAAGATGAGGCAGCAGCTACGGTTTGTGCGGTCCGCAGCAACGTCGACACAGCGATGACGCGGGGCCTCAACAATCCACGGCATCCGCGACCGGTAGACCGCGCTCGAGGGTCAAGGCGGCATAGATATTTGGCCAGGGCCCGGGAACGAAAGCGTCGTCTGGCTGGGCGCGACTGCGAGAACAAGCGTTGATTGCCTAGCACTTACAATTAGGCGCGTGCCTTCGCGTTCGCAAGGCCAGTAATGAGCGACAGCATGCAATTTTTTTGCCTGGACTTGTGCTTGAATGAACAGGCGTTGTTTCGAGGACCCTGTGCTTACCTAAAGCTTCCTTCCAGAGGCTAAACAAATTGCCGGTGGCTGGCTTATCAAAGACACCCTCGACTCAGCCACCACATCGCTGGACAGCAGCCAAGTTCTCAGGACCGCTTGCAGATTCCTGTCGGCCGCTACCTACCGTACCCACGGCAACAACGTGGCAGCCCGTGGCGAATCATGGCATCACGAGACTGTCCTTCGGGAAACGAAACAGCGTGAGCCGTTTCGCCCGCCGCGAGCCTAATCTAGCTGACCCTCCGGACAGCTACAGGCTTTCCTTTACGCAGGGGCTCATTGTCGGCCAGCTGTCCGTGGTGCTGATACTGGCCGCCTTTATCAAGTTTTTCATCTTTGGGGATCCGCCCTCTCCCGACGTGACCTCGTCGCTGAGGGCTACCGAGCGCAGGGCGAGGACCTTGACTCACAAGCAGTCGCTCCTCAGCCTGCGTTCACCTAGCCAGCGGCAGGGTCAAGCATTGAGCCGCAAGAAGTCGAGCGTCCTCAGGAATCAACCTGCCCTGACAATAGGCTCAATACTGAGCAAAACATACTACAACGTCGACAGTCACCAGCCAGAGAGCCTCGACTGGTTCAATGTCCTGGTCGCCCAGACCATCGCCCAGTTCCGCAGTGACGCTCAGCACGACGACGCCATCCTCGACTCCCTCACCAAGGCTCTCAACGGAACGTCACGGCCCGACTTTGTCGACGACATTCGGGTCACCGAGCTCAGCCTGGGCAACGACTTTCCAATCTTCAGCAACTGCCGCATCATCCCAGTTGACGAGGATGGGCTCACTCTTGGCAACGGCATCAAATTCGATGCTGCTTCAGCGGCCAGGGACGGGACGCGGCTTCAAGCCAGAATGGACGTGGACTTGAGCGACATGCTTACACTGGCCGTGGAGACGAAGCTCCTCCTCAACTACCCCAAAAAGCTATCAGCAGTCCTACCCGTGGCCTTGTCCGTGTCCGTGGTCAGGTTCAGTGGGACGCTGTCCATTTCCTTCATCCCTAGCAACCCATCACAGTCATCCCCAACCATGATGACCTTTAGCTTTCTCGATGACTACCGCCTCGACTTTTCCATCCGGAGCCTTCTGGGCAGCCGCTCAAGACTACAAGACGTGCCCAAGATTGCCCAGCTTGTCGAGGCACGGTTGCACCGGTGGTTTGATGAGCGCGCTGTCGAGCCGCGCTTCCAGGAAATCGCATTGCCAAGTATGTGGCCGAGAAAAAGGAACACCAGGGGGCCAGACGATTCCCTGGCAGACGGTGGCGGTTCCGTTGGACGAGCCAAGGGAAGGGAGCTGGGCCGTGATCTGCGGGACGAAGTGCCCCTAGGCGACAATGAGTGGAGAGAGGCCAACTCGTCACTCAGGCACCGAAGGCCTCTAGGCGCAAGGGAGGGGAGCGAGTTTTCCATGCCAGGCTCGCTTCCCGATGTCAAGATTGGCGCCAGGCCCTAAATTCGCGAAGAAGCCACATAGCATCCCTGCATTGGGCTAGGCATTACCTGAGTGCATCGATTGGCCCAAGCATACGCAGAGTCTAACGAGGGCCATGACACTGGTAAGATCAAGGCTGTTGCGCGGCCGGAGAATTCATGAAGACTGAGCATTCAAGGCGCTGCAACAGCGTACTCAAAAGACAGCCAGGGCCATGGGCGACTCTGTCAGGGCATACAAATTGGAGTACCAGAGCGCGAAGCCAGCCACGAGCAGGAGGTAGTAGAGTGCAGTCCATGTCGCTGGAGAGGGGGGGGCGGAAAGATCGCGGCGGAACAACCAGTGAGGCTCCACAGCGCCCCAGAGTCGCGGAAGACCCATGGAATTGCAGAGAGCGTGTGCAGATATGGCAGCAAGCAGTGAGCCTGTACGCAGGAATATGAAGGTAGCATACACACCGAAAATGTACGTGTACAAAAACTGAAAGACTGAGCGGGCGACGGCGGTGATGAGAGGAGTTTGGGGATGAGTAATGCGGAACTCGTAGAAATGGTGAAGGTGGGCGAGGCCAAAGACCAAGGGAGACCGGAGAATGATGTTGGTAGAATCAGAGCCGGCGAGCAGCAGCAACGGCACAGCAGCGGACCTAAAGAGACATTCTTCAGTGACGGGGCCCTGACAGAAGAATTAGTATTGATCAGCAACGCATGATACTTGAAGGGTAAGCTCGAAAGCGACCGCCAGAGGAGCGAGTGGCTCCGACTCAGGGCAAACTTTGGGAGGTCAACGCACAGCGACAATATTCCGCCAAGTCGGCCAATCGAGCCAGACGTGTCTCAAGGGCTTGAGTTTCGGCCACCGTCTCCAGACACCGTCGATGAAGAGACATTCATAGAGAGGACCGGCAAAGAGCAGAGCGGTGAGAAGGTGAGCCTTGGCAGTCTCGGGCAGGCCAAGTGGCCAATATCCCATGAGATGAATAGGGAACTGGCTACGGTGGCCGGTGGTGGAATACCCGGATGCTGAGGCGAAGGTGAGGCTGGCGACTGGGGCGAAGCGATGGATTATGAGTAGGGTGGACACGGAGCAGACGGTGGTGGACAGGGAGACGGCGCGTATTCGGGCGCGAATGGCCTCCGGGGCATCCCTCGAACGGGCTGGCGAGGCCCTAGTAGCAGCTGAAGCGTAGAGAGGCAGAACGTAGACGAGGCAGTATGCTATCTGTCTCGGATAGGCTCGTTTTAGCGGGCGTCGATGCACAGGGAGCGGGTGAAGTCAGGGTTGGGTTGTTGGCATCCCGGTGGGGGTGGCAAAAGGGAAGACAATTGCCTTTGCTGTGCATTTCGCCGAGCTACAACAAGGTGCTCGACTCACCAAGAGGCAGTAAGCCTGGGACTGGCCGAGGCTGGGCTTTATCAAGCCGAAACTCGGCGGTTCCATGCCGAAGTGTTGCTATTTGGTGTTGTGAATCGCCTATCGGCTTGGAAGTTGGAACGAGGAAGGATAGGGCCACGGCGTACAAAGTACCTACGGAATACAGTAAGGAGTCTGCTAACCGGACTTTCAGCGGGATGCAAGCAGCGGCCACTTGGCAACCTACAGTAGGTAGGCCAAGGTTTTCACAGGACGAAAAATTCGACCAGAGGGAGAGCAGAGGGATCTTAGAGCCACAAGGGAAGCTGCGGGCACCTCCCAGCGACAAACTAACGCACCTCGTACATGGACGCGAAATTACCGCCTCGCTGCGGCATACAGCACATGCAAGGAGCAGCTGCCTTACTAAGTAATGAGGGCTTACCGTACAGGGAGGCGCTAATATCACGTTCTCGGATGCAGCGAGTGTTTGCTTCCGCGTTCCCCCTCTTTCCCGCATATACCTGACCAGGTTTGTTTGCGTGGTGCCCTAAATTCGTCGCATTGCGTCTCAAGAGTCGGGACGATGAAGGTAGATGCGAAGCCCACTCGAGATACAGCCGAGACTGGACGAAGCCACGACAGCGAGTGAGCACGTGCACTTGGTTGGACAAGCAAACCCCCAGTTGCGGGATAGATGCTGCTATGCTGCTTCCTAGACGTGGATTGGCTGCCTTGTCTTGGTCACCGCGCTCGAATATTTTTGTTTCCTTTTGCGAACAAGACTGACTGACTAATCATGTTTGGCAATCAGGGCGTGGCCACACGAGGAAAACGCGAACCGGCCGCGCTTACGGCTGCAACCACTCTAGGGGAAAGAGGCCTGACTCGGCTGCTTCATGCGATCCGATCGTGGGCCGGTACAGGACATGGGCCTGATGGAACCGGCTCTGGAGTGCCAATCGTGGTAACTTTGATGGAACCGCGAATCTGGACAATGCTCCCGCCGACCCGAGTCTCGAGGAAAACCGCGCCCCTCCCTAGGCGTCTAGGGACAAGGCAGTGCGAGAAGGGAAAAAGGGGACAGTCGACTGACGCAGGAGGTATTGGACTGGAAGAGCTTCGCTGCCCTCCGAGTTGGTGCCTAATCACTTCCTCGAACAAACACGCCCCTGCTTCTCGCTGCTGCAACTGGCTGCAGGAGGTCATCAAACAACGCCCACTAAAACAACAGCCCGCCGTGGTTCATGTCCCAACCAGCACCCACACTGGTAGCGCATGCATGCATAAGGTACATACGCGCACATGGAAACGTCTTCGTTTATTCGTTGATCCGTTCGCTCTTCATCTCTCCTCCCCCTTCCCCTGCTTGGTTGGTAGGCGGTCAGTCAAGCCGCCCGGCGGCGCTATGCGGCCTCGTGGATATCCAGACGTCGTCTGTGTACAAAGCCGAGGCCCCGACTGCGACAAAACCCACCCTTGACCCGGTCGGTGGTTCTACTTCTTGTTCCTCGTTCGGTCAGCATGGTGATTGATGCCATGTTACTGCTAGTCGTGGTGATTCTTCGGTGGCCTCTGTCCCTTCTTTCTCCGTCACTCCTTTTCACCTTGTGACCCTCGAGTCCTGTCCCTCCTTACCGTCTATTGTATTGTATTAACTCTTTTCTTCTTCGGATTCCTGCCACCACTCATCGTCTTTGCATCGTTCTCTGGCCTCGTCTGGCTTCAAAACCATCTTGAACCCTGTTCCGGTGTCTTTCAGGAAATATCTTCCTCTTCGTCTTATTCGCAGTTTCTTTTCTCCTCCACGTTCTCGTCCTCCTTCGTTTCAGGGACCTCCGCACATCACAGCGTCCTCCCGGCATTTCCTTTCGCTTGTGCCATGTTCACCATGAATGTTTCGTTTTAATTATAGTCTCGCGCAACCAAGACCGTCGACCACTTCGGCTTTGCCTTGTGCAGCCACAGCTTCAGCAGCAGAGTCATTTTTTGTCTTGCCGGCGATACTTTACCTGATCTTAATCCAGCTCGCCGTCAAAAGCAGCGTGGCACCTTCTTACTACATCACCCGGCCTCCTGTCGACTGAATTCAATCACCGATCTTTTCTTGCTCTGGCTCACCAAAGTTCGGGTCGCCTTGTTGCGTCCAGTGCTTGCGGGCAATGGAAGTGGCTGCACCCGCTGGCGGCGTCTAGTGGTTAGTGGTTAGTGGTCGGAACGAGAGCCGAGCATGTCCGCGACGCCGCCTCGTGCGTCGGAGCGCCGAGCCCTTCACGAGCGGACGCCTTCGGAGCAAAACAGGCTCCAAGTTCGGCTAGTGCCATACACTCCTCCTCGCCTCAGCTTCGATGGCTCGCTCCCAACCCTGTCCCGATCAGCCTCCGGCGTCCACCGCCCAACTTCTCCCTCTGACCCGGCTTCCCCAGACTCGCCGTCGGGGGTCAAATCCATCGACAAGGGCAAAGACAAGGCTCGCCCCAGCCATCACAGAGGCCAGACGCGCGAGCCATCTCACTTGGGCATTTCTCGCCCGTCCACATTCTCGGACTGCAACGTCAATCGTTTGTCCCGCTCATCCCTATCCCCGTCCGAGTCTCCCCGGTCGCCGGAACCAGTGCAGCCCCAGCAGCAGTCGCCGGAGCCCACTTCTTTCCGGCGTCGGTCCAAGTTTATCAGCCTCTACTCGGACAAGAAGTTCTCCCCTCTTCCTCATTCCTGCTCAACCTCCTCTGCCACCTACTCGTCAAAGTCCGCGCGAAGGTCCTCGACAGTTCCGAGCAGCTCCCGGGACCCCTCCGCCTCCATCGTTCTCGTCGATGACCGCTGCAGCTCTCCCCTTTCGCCTCTTCACGAAGAATTCTCGCCAACGCCCGCCTCTGGTCGCTCAACTTGTGCCTCGCCCTCGTCCTGGAACTATCGCTTCGTGGGTGGCTTGCGCAAAGGGCACCGTCGCGCTCCAGGCGCCAGCCAGACAGCTTCTGCCAGTGTCGTGAAATCGTCCGTTTCTAACCCGCGGCTACTGTCCCGCCTTCGGAAGGCGTCTCCAACCTCTCGGCCAAATGTCAGTCCCCTTTGCGCCAGAGACTCTTTCCAGTCCGCTCGATCAGGATCCACCCAATCCGAGAGGTCCAACTATAAGATTTATGCCAATAGTTCTCCGGCCCCTGGCGCCGCCGCCTCGGGTACTCTAGAGGAGTCATTCTGCACTGATCCCGAAGGTGTATATACACCCAACTCTAGCCATGCAAACGTGGTGGTTCTGGGCGACACCTCCTCCAGCCAGTCTGTCGACGACCAAGCCGGCGAAAGCGAAGCAAACTACCATGTCGCCAGTGGCGACTTGGCACCCCGTCTCAAGCTGAGGTCGGGATTCTCGAGGGAAAGCTTGCTCGTGTCGCCGCTGCAACCTTCTCAAAGAAACTCGGCGGAGCAGCCCGGCGTGCTGAAGTCATGTTCTCGCGGCTCGAGTCATGCCAGTTCCTTGAGCTCAGTGTCCAGCATCGTCATCGAGGAGACCTTTACTTCTTTACTCGCCGGAGCTGCTCCCACATGCATGGCAGGCGAGTCTTCGGGGGACGACTCTTCACATCGGCCTGCCAACAGTGGTTCGAGCAACGCCCGCTGGGCCTTGTTTCGGCGGCCTCAGTGGGACCCTGCGCTGTCGACAGTCACCTCAGACAGTGCAGGGGTCAGCAAAGGCCGATCACATACCCTTTCATCGGTGCCTGGCTCCAACGGCCGCGGCGGTCAAGGCCAGGTGGTGGCAGCTAATGCGGTGGGCGACTACCCAGCATGCCCGTCGCCCGTGCACAGGAGGCTCTCCAATCGGGAGCAGCATCGCAACACCATACGGTTGATTCGGAATCAAGACGAACACGGTGATGGTCTCACAGACCTCGAGGCACCCCATCACCACCCGTCCCGCTCTCGAATGCACAGCCTTTTATCCAGCTATTCATCCGATAGGAACCTGCGATCTTCCAGCAGCTCGCGCAGCAGCAGCCTCAGTCGTTCCTCGGTTCCAGCATGGGCCAGGTAAAGGAGCACCAAACATCCAGGAGACGGTCCAGGTGCTCGGTGATGGCTGACTCTTTTGCAGGCTTTACTATGGCAGCGGCGAGCGCCGATGGTTGGCTGCCAAGTTGTCGACTGAATCAATGTTCTCGGAGTTCACCGGCGATTCGCGCGGCAGCACTTTTCCCAGTCGGTCCCCGAGCGCTGATCTGTTCCCCGCTGTCATTCAAAGTCCCCGGCGACGTCCACGCGAGCCAGCTTCCCCTGCAAGACGTAGCGGCACGACCTCGGACGGTGACAACACCGACACGGCACCATACACAACCACTCCCTTAGCTAGCAGGTTGAGGACGCAGACGTCAAGTATCTGGTCGCCGCATCTCCGCAGGGACCGTCGCGCAATTGGATACGGAATCTGGGAACCTCCATCTGCTGTGTGGTCGACCAACAGAGTCTGGCTCAGCCGCCAGAATCTCCAGCCCATCTTATTCGTGGTAGGCTTTGTCTTTCCCTTGGGTAAGTAGCGAACTCCTCACGATGGGCCGATTTATTCGCGGATACTGACCGGACAAACGGGACAGCATGGGCGATTGCCTCCTTCCTTCCACTCCCGCCCATATCGGGTCCTGAAATGGCGCAAATGAATCCCAGCATGAGTCATCTCGATCTCCGGCTCGAGGCCAATTCCCCGATGGACATGTTGGATATGCGGCTTTACAACCATGCTCGCTGGTGGAGGACGCTCAACAGAGCCATGGGTATCGTCGGCATTTTCGTCATCGGTGCCATTATCGCTCTCATCGTCTTTGGCGTACGCCAGCAATGGAGATACTGACCGGCCTTGCAATTGCATCAGCTCCCTGGCCAATGCCGGCTCCGGTGCCCATGTCAAGGCATCATGACGACATGACGACATAACGACCCTTTTTATTCTCGACTTGGCGAATCTGCGACCTTTGCATCTCATTCATCTTCTGGCGTCTTCTCAGTGTCAAACATTGATATGTCCTGCTATTTTCTCTCTCCTGGGCGTTTGCTTGCGAAAGCAAAGGCTTGGTTCCGACAGTAGTGGCCATGGCCTGGGTAGATGTTATTATTCCTTGATGACTGACGAAGCTATGCCAGTCATGGGATTTTCCTTGTTCCTTGACTCAGAGACGGACCTGATACCTTCTAACATTGGGGTTGAGACAATGAGTTTTTGATAATGACAGATGAGCATTGGATAATAATGATCAATACAGGGTGTACAAGCGCCCTTGTGGCTCGATTTGGATGGCATTGCTCTCTTGGATCAAATGAGTAACATGCGACTGGGGCTTGTCTAGATAAACCAAGCCAGTTGACGTCACGGCGCCTTCTTTCGCTGCCGCGCTTCTACTTCAGCCCTTATTTCCTTCATGGCGTCATTCATGTCCTGCTCAAGATCTTTCGAAATGCCTAAAATCGGCTCCCCGCCCGTCAGGCTCTCGGTGCTAATGGACCGCACCAACTTGGCATTCGCCTTGCCTTGTCTTTTATCTAGTTCGGCCTTCAAGGCAGCCTTGCCTGGCGAGGCAAAGAAGGCTAGGCAGGCAAGGGTCCAACCAAGTCCATAAAAATATACATTAGACCACGCACGGACGGATTCTCTAGACTCGAGTAAGAGGAAGGGAGTTGTGGCGAAAGAGAAAGTCAGCTGAGTGGCGATGTAACTAGCAACGTCGTAGTACTTTTTCCAGGGGTTTGATCCGCCACCAATGGGATCCAGGAAAAAGGGACGGACAAGGCGGCGGAAGTCTAGTACATGATATTAGCATCGAGCTGGTAAATGGGCAAACCAGGGGGCAGGAGCAGTCCGGAAGATGCCTCTGGGGTTGAAAAAAAAGACTACATGGCATGGCGAGGCTGGATCAAACTTACTTTTGGCGGCCGTCTGGATCAAACTCGCCAGAATAAAGGTCAGGTAGTATCCAGGGTAAAAGCCGTGCCAGAGAGCGCTGGTCACGAAAGTGGCCATGCTGGCACGGAAGCCCGGCTTCTTGCCGCGAGGTGTCACCCGCAGATAGACATAGTTCCTCAGCCAATTGTTCGTGTTCATGTTCCATCCAGCTAGGTAACCTCGTGGGTTCTGAGCCGTCTCTACCATCCAGGGGTCGATGTTTTGGAGGCGATTCCACGAAACTTTGCCGGTAACGGGGTCGACCCCGTTGTAGCCAAGCCCGGCAAGGATGCAAGAACCCTCGGCCAATGTCCATACGCCGTAGTATTTGAATCTGGCTACCAGATTCACCATGTACATTATTCCAATGCGGCGGAGGAGGCCATGCCGCAAGTACGATTTGGCCACCATTTGCTCCGGGCTGAAAGTGGATGACAAGTAAACAAACAGGCCGATCCAGAGCAGACCATATAGGGCCTTGAGCATAGCAGGAGTGCCGCTGCGTGGTATCTTGCGCCTCTTCCTCACAGGAGGTCGTTTTGCGGGTTCGACTTCGGAAGGCATATCGAACATGGACGTGTCGATCCAACGACGGTACTCTGCGTAGTCAAAAGCGGGCCCGGCGAGGAGGCCAGGGAAGAAGAGGACATATGCGGCGAAATCAAGGACCGAAGGAAGGGCGCGAAGAGCCCGGTCCTTCTGGAAGTCTGACAGGTATTCATCTTGCAGCTGGCCATCGGCGACGTTCCAGCAGAAAGCGCTGAGCTTCATGACTAGGACCATCTGGGCTCCCGTGATATCGACCGTGGACGGGCTGTTGGCAACTTGGCGCCGGATGTGACTGAGAGACATGTGGCACATTAGGAAGACGAAGCCGATCCAGGGCATGTAGGGGCTCTTCCGAAGGTACTTGGCGATGCAGAAGGTGCCGGCCGCACTGGCAAGCAGATTCGCGAGGCCGCGCCACAGGTCGAACAGTCCGACAAGGTAAAAGATGGAGGTGCTGCAACCAACAAGGAGAGTGGTCAGCATGCGTCAGGGAGCTCGCTGGAGAAGGGGGGGGGGAGTTGACAATGGCGTCGCTTGTACCTTATGATGAATATATTTTTGCGCTGGGGCTTGGCGTCTGGGAGCCGCTTCAGGACCCCGGCCAACGGGTAGGAGATGAGAAACGAAAATATGATTTTGACTGATCGAGCGACAATGCAGACGGCGTTAGACAGAGTTGCCACGCAGAGTAAAGGGAAGCGCTCACCCTCGTCGGGGGAGGCACCGACACTCGTCGCGAAGACCTCGAAAGCTGCAGCAAAGGGCGAATTAGTCTCGCGGCTCCAGGAGGAGCGAGGAAAACTGACGCCAATGCAGGAACCGGGGCATCTTGGGTGCGCAGTCGGCCCCAGGTTTACGAACATAGCAGTCGCAGTAAGGTAGAGAATCGACGAGAGATGTCGAGCCACCGTGTGCCTCTTTATAAGCCGCACAGACAAGCTGTCGTCTCGGGACGCTGGGAGGCGAGGTCCCATTAGAGTGTTGGTGCTAGGCATTAAGCAGAGCGGGATCATCGGAAGGCCCGATTAAGCTTTGCGTAATGCAGCTACATAAAGAAACCGGACCCCTTTTAATTATCCAATGCACTGTTTTTATTCCCCCTATATATAAAAGAGTATTGCTAACTCTATATATACGTATTGCTATCCGTATATTCGCCCTATTTTTAAGATACGTACTAACGCTAGCCCGCCCCGCCTATTTATACCGCGCGCGCCTAGTAAGTACCTATAGGCCTTGACTATAGAGCCGACCGGTCTGCCTAACGAGCCGGCTAAATGTAGGGAAAGTATAAGTCAGCCCACCTAAAGTCCGGCACACCCTAACACCGGCACTCTCTACAATACTAAGGCAGGCACATTCTAACAGTAATTAAAGCCGTATTTTAACGTTACGATAGTTAATTATAGTGTTTTCTAGCTATTTAAGCTGCCAGCTACTATATAGAGCTTTAAAATCTACGTCTTAATTAGCTGCGGTAATAGCAGCCGGCTCGAGGATACGCTCGAGCCGCTGCCTCGTCTTAATAACTTAATTAATCTATATAAACTAGCTATTAGGATCCTATAGAACCTTTTTCTATTTTTAAGGCCGTAGACGATATTTAATGCTTAAGCTATTATATTCGAAGCTAGGTAGCTATAAGCTACTAATTTTAATTATTAAGGGCATAGCTAACTTTACTAAAAAGTAGTCGGATTATATAGTTAACTTAACCGCGATTTTCTAGCCCTATAACGAGGCGGCGAACTTCTTATAATCGTTTAAGCGTTTTAAGGGCATTATTATTAGCTAAGGAGCTAATATTCTTCCTTTTTAATAGCGTTAATAGCGTTAACGGCTATAGTAAGATAAAGCGGCTTAATAAGGGCTTTACTATATTAATTAGCTATAAACTAAACCCGCGCTAACCTCCCTTAATATTCTTTTTAGTTAGGCTAGCCTACCGGGCTTTATAGTAAATATAAAGGAAGGTAGCCTTATTAATTAGCGCTATATCGTCGAAAGATATAATTTTCTTAAGTTAACGTTAGTATACGGCCTTAATAGGTAAGAAAACCGAGATATTAAGTAGTTAAAGGATATATAAGGAGTATAATAGTAGGAAAAGGAGATATATACTATTTTAAAAGCATTTATATATAAAATTATTAGTCTAATAACTCCTATAGCCGTTAATAATAAGAAGAGGATTGCCTTACTTATAGTACCTTATTTAAGGGATAAAAACCTACTTTAGCTACTAAATAGCAATAGTATTACTTATCTAGCCCTTTTTTTTTTTATATTATTACTCGTATATAGCCTCTAGGGCTATAGCGAGGCTAATAAGGGCCTAGGCCCTTATTAGTAGCCCTAGCTAGCTATAGAGCCCGGGGGCTTATAACTAATTAGGGAAAGGGTAGCTATAAAGGCAGAGATAAAGGAAAGGTTAATCTAGTTCCTCCTACGCGGTGTTTTTCCCCCTTAAGGGCCCTAGGGCCCCTAGGTTACTCTTTTTCGAGCTACTTAGCCGTTCCTATCTTTATTTTAGCTAAGAAGGTTATAAGGGCTTCCCTTCCTTCCTTAGTGCTATAGAGAAAAGGTAGGCTAAGGGCCTCCTTCTATCCCTTTAAGGCCTAGTATAGGACCTCTCTTTCCCTCTTATAGTTCGGGTACCTTAGGATAAGGTGCTTAGCCGTATACCTTCCTTAGCTATAGCGGTAGTCGTCTTAGCCTACCTTATTAACCCTTTTTAAGAAGGATAATAGGAAGCCGGCCCCGAGGAGAAGTTAGTAGTAGGCTAAAAGGGTCGGCCTAGGCCTTCCTATAAGGTCCTTTTCCGGGCTAAAGGCTAGGCGGGGGGTCTTTTAAATAGACGTATAGTGCTTACCTAAGCCTTTAGCCTTAGGGCCTTTAGCTACCTCGGTAGCCTAGAGGCCCTTCTAGTAGTCCTTAGTAGCTTATCGGACCTTTCTTCGTAGGTAGCTAATAGAGACTATAGGGGTCCCTTACGTAAGGGCCCCTAGGCCTCTCTTAGCTAGCTAGTTAGCTAGCTCGTTACTAAAGATCCCTAGGTAGCTAGGGCACTAGTATAGCCGTATATTATAGAAGGCCTCTAGGTTTATTAAGAGCCTTCTAATATATATAGCTAGGTCCGAGTAGCCTTTAGCTTTTTATATAGCGGCTTAGCTATCTATAAAGATATAAGCCTCTATAGGGGGGTTAAGGGGGCTAGACCTTAGAGGCCGAGGCCTCTTAGCTAGGTCCTCTAGGACCCTTAGTATCGCGAATAGCTCTACGTCGGCTACTTCGATAGAGGGCCCTAGGTTCTCGTAGTACGCCTTACTAGGCCTATTTTCTAGGCCTATCTTATAGAAGGAGTAGGCGTTAGTCACTATAGGGGACCCCTTAGGGCACCCCTTAGAGCCGTCGGTATAGAAGACTAAGGGCTATAGCCCGAAGTCTTCTAAGCTAGCTAGGTTAGCTAAGAGGCGTTAGTGCTACTTCTTAGCTAGGGGCTTAAGGGCCTCTATTATCGTAATAGAGGCCTTAGGCTCTAGAGCCTATAGGGGCTCCTAGCTAGCTTTCCTTCTTTCTAAGCTATAGTTAGGCCCTATAATAGCTACTAGGCCTTTAAGGAGGCGGAAGAGTTATATATAGAGCCTAATATAGCTTAGGGCTCCTAGGTTAGAGCCTAAGTCGGCGAGGTTATCCTATACGGCTAGGTTATAAGCCTGCCTTATAGGGTGATTCGGTAAGAGGTATAGGGTTCGAAGGGCATAGGAGAGGCATACCTTTTTAAACCGTACCTCTAGTAGTAGGAGGGCTGCTTTAGCTTCTAGGGCCCTAATAGGGGATCCTTTAAAGGCCCCTAGGACTTTTAGGAGGGCCTAGTTCTAAAGCCTTTAGAAAGGCTTTATTAAGCTCCTAGGGGTCTTAGGCCCCCTATACTAAAGCTAGGCCCTATAGTCTACTATCGAGGTCACGTAGGCCTAGTAGAGCTGCCTCGAAGCTTTAAACGATAGGCCTCTTTATATAGAGACTAAGCGGGATAGCCCTTTAAAGGCAGCTTATATAGAGGCTACCTTCTTTTCGATATATTATTTAAATAGGAGCCTAGAGTTAAAGAAGACCGCTAGCTACCGTACTAAGGGCTTCGCTTCGAAAAATAGGCCTCCTACCTTTATACCCTCTAAAATAGGCTGCCTTTGCCTACTAAAGTAGATAAGTTCCGTCTTAGAGGGGTCGAAATAGACCCCTTAGTCCTTAGCTTATTCGAATAGGTTAGTAGCTATAGCTTCTAGCTACCGGGCGTTCTTCTTAGCCGAGGTTAACGTTATAGAGATACTAAAATCGTCTATATAAGATAGCTAATACCCCTTAGCCGCTAGTATCCCCCTTACGTATAAGAGGAATAGGATAGGGCTAATAGGGGACCCTTAAGGTACCCCTATTACTAGGTCCGTTAGGGGTTAGGTTTGCCCCTTAAAGGCTAGCTAGATCTTCCTTTCAGTAAGGAAGTAGTCTACCTAGCTTATAAGGGCCTTAGGGAGGTTTAATTCCCTTAGGACCCTTATAAGCTATTCCTTTAATACGAAGTTAAAGGCGCCTTTTATATCTAATAAGAGGGTGCTAGTAATAGCCTTCTTATTAGACTCCTACTTCTTTTAGATATAGTATAGAAGGAGGAAGGCCGTATCGATAGCTAACTGCTGTTTTTATCCCCCTAGCTACGTAGGGTTTAAAAGCCCGGCCGTATTAGCTAAGTAGCTTAGCTAGGTAGCGTATAGCTTTTCGAGGACCTTCCCTAAGTAGTTAAGTAGACTTATAACCCTATAGGCTTTAGGGATAGTATAGTCTAGCTTATTTTACTTAAGGAGTATAATTCTTATAGCTTCCTTCTATACTTTAAGGTAGTATCCTTAGTTAAATAGGGCTTTATAGGCCCTATTAAAGACCGTAGGAATAACCTTATAAGCGTATTAGATAGGAAGGAAGCTAAGGGAGTCTAGGCTAAGGGCTTTCTTATTAAAAGAGCTAACGATAGCCCTTTTAATCTTAGGGTCCTTTAGCTCTTACTAGTCCTACTTAGCCGTGCCCTTACTACCTATAGGGCCCGGGGGCTCTTCTTTTTCTAGGCTCTAGGGGGGGCTAGGGGGGCTAGGGCTAGGGTCTAGGGTTAGAAAAAGGGTTGTTAGGAAGGCCTCGTATTTTTCCGTAAAGGTATTAGCTTTTACCTTTATCCCTTCTTTTATATATAAGATACTTAGAAGGGTAGGGTTAGCTTTAGCCTTAGTATAGGAAAAGGCTATAAAGACGTCCTTTCCTACTACTTTTACTAGGAAGCTCTCTTAGTATTGCTTTTTAGTAGCCCTAATAGTATACTTAAAGCTATTTCGGGCCTCTATAAAGCTCTTTTAGTTCTCCTTATCCTAGGCTAGCCTATAAGCCCGTTAGGCTAGGCTTAGGGCTTTCTAAAAGGAGGTTAGCTTATCGGTCTACTAGGGTTTAGATCCCTTCCTTATAAGGCCTCTTTTTCGGTATCGCTACGTTAGAGGCCTCTATAAGGGTTCTTATTAGAAGGGAGGCTATCCCTTTTAAGTCGTCTCGTTTTATAGCCCTCTTTATAGCTATAAGGAGGTCCTATTCCTTCTTAGCTAAGTATTCTAAGAAGGCCTTTTAGTCTACTTTCCTATAGTTATAGGTAGTAAGCCTAGCTAGAAAGGGCCTATTAGGGCCCCTTAAGCTAGCTTTAAAGGCTATAGGCTTATAGTCTAAGCCCGTAGCCTCTAAGAAGCGGAAGTTAGCCTAGGTTAGTTACTTAAAGGGGCTATAGAAAGTAAGGT